TTTTTTTTTTTTTAAATGGAATCATGTAGACATGACGTGTCAATCACCACAAATTCAGAAGGACACGTAAACCATTAAAGTTGAAAGAATGATTTAGTTTTAGTTCAATTATATTAGATTTGTAGTAGGATAAAAGAAATCTTCATTTTTTGTGAATTTGCTTGAAAAATAATGAAAGTTCTGTCCGGACAAGTGTGTAAGTATTTCACTGAGCCTTATACACACTATGATACACTGAAACACTTCTGCGGGGTAAATAGGCTACATGTAAAATGGAGGACAAGTCAAGCAAGGAAGAAAGCATATTGCAGAAGAACATATGCGCCGTTGTATATTTATAGGTTTTGGTCAAATGATCATTTCCCAAATGCCGCGTGGGGACAGACTCGTAGCAGCTTTTATGCAAATCGCCTTCTTCAGCGTATTTTCATTGGAGACGAGCGTGGAGGTGTACGGCGTGACATCAGCCAATGCAGCTTTATGAACAAAGTGCGCCTCTCCCTAACAGGCAGATGTGCGTCCAGTCCTCTTGCATCAGTGGACTTTGTGGCTTGAAGCCAAACGGACTGTGCGGTGCAGAATCACCACTCCGTGCAGACTTTAGGCTGGACGCCTTTTATGCACGCATGTTTTTTCTTCTGTACTGAAAATCAAAGTTTGGAATTACTGTTATTTTAAAAGTGCGTGCGCTTTCACTGAATGCGTGAAATAGCTGTGGACATTTGGAGATTTTTTTGAAGAGACTCATTCTAATGACCGCTGAGACGCGTTCATTTCTGGAACTGCACAAAACCCCCATGGATTTCGTCAGTGACTTCGACTTAATGAAGTTCGGCATCAAGAAGGAGGCGCTGCAGGGGATGGACCGCTCGTTCGTCGGGCCGTGCAGCCAGCTCCAGACACCAGACTCTGTCTCCTCCACCCCTGGCAGCACACCTTGTAACTCGGTACCCTCATCACCAAACCTCAATCCAAACGAGCACAGAAATAACCCGGGAAGCGACCAGTTCTGGATAGCCAACAACGGGGGTTACCCTCAGCAAATGTACCCTCAGTCTTTTGGCCTGACACCCGAGGACGCAGTTGAGGCCCTCATCGGCGTCACAGCGCAGCAGGGCCACCCATCTGCGCCCCATAGTCACCATCCGCCACCTTTCCAAGCTGAATACGAAGGGTACAACCACCTGAACGAGCCTGTCCAGCACTACCCGGGACTCCCAGGTCATCCAGACATGCAGGGCATGCCCAGCAGTCACTGCCAAGACCCCTATCTCAAGGATGACCTGGGAAGTGCGTCCCCTCAGTCGCCAGAGGTCCAGCAGGTCCTCGGTGCGCACCATCATCTCCAGCAGCAGCACAGCCGCCACGACAGACGATCCAATCCTGAGATGCACTTCTCAGACGATCAGCTGGTGTCTATGTCAGTCAGGGAGCTGAACCGTCTTATCAGAGGCCTCAGCAAGGACGAAGTGATGCGTCTGAAGCAGAAGCGCCGAACCCTGAAAAACAGAGGTTACGCACAATCCTGCCGCTATAAACGCGTACAACAGAAACACATTTTGGAGCACGAAAAGACCAGCCTGGTGTCACAGGTCGAGCAGCTGAGACAGGAACTCAATAGACTGATCCGGGAGAGGGATGCATACAAACTTAAATGTGAGAATCTGTCCGGCGCCGGCTCTTACCACGAAACTGGGTCCACCAGTGACAACCCTTCCTCACCCGAGTATTTAATGTGAGTTTGTTAATTTACTGCAGAAGTGATTCTTTTAGGGAGGCATTGACGCGTTGACAACTCGCCTTGTTCCTTCACAAACAATCTCATGGATTCATCAAGCTTTAAATGATGTTGAACGTTGGGATATCACCGAAGTAATTGTAATAACTACATCGAGGCAACAAGTTATGAATGGAAAATTACAATGAAGCACGCATGCAGGACATGTAGGCTATGAGATGTTTTTATTTTATACAGGCTTATACAGACATTTTACCTGAGAGGAGATACTTGAAATCAGAGAATATTTCCCTTTATTAATATACAACTTAAACCCTTCTGCTTCAGTTAAAGCTCAGTTTTTATTTTGATGATTTTGCTTTGCTTAGTCTTTGTAGCTCAGGTGATATTTTGTGATCAGCTTCCTTAGAAAAGATGCCGATAATAATGATGCTAGAAATTGCATTTATATTATTTTGTATGAAACTTCTTCTGCCGGACAGATGTATTTTTATTTGCTTTAAAAAAAATATATATATATAGTATACACTTATGCAAATTGTTTCATCTACTATGTTTTCATTTACCATGGATCAATAAACCTATTGTGACTTGTTAAAACGGTCTCATCTGCTGACAAATTGCTTACATTTCTGAACAGTAAAATATTTACCACATATGCACAAGCGTCTTTGCAATTTTCATGACACTGTAATTCTTATGAGAGATATTCCAAGATTTTAAATAATTCACGGTAGAAAAAGAAGAAGAACATTTTTGCATTCATAAATCCATAAAAGCAGATACACCCAACATGTTATTTGTGCACATAAAATTTAGCTATTGAAGTATGTCGGCTAGTGACCACTATATACAGAAATGGGAAAGTAAATTGATTAACTGACTAATATGTGTACAGATTACATGACTACAAGCACAAAAAAACATTGTCCCCATTATAAATTTCTATTCTAAAATTCTATTATGACCCTATAAAACAGAAATACTCAATGTCACTTGCACATTTCTTCATTATCACATTTATTTTGTCAGACAGCCAGAAGAATCAGAACAGTAACAGTCACAGTGTTGTGCATTTGTTAGCTTGCTGGTGGTTGAAAGGATGAGTGGCTTTCTCTCCTTCCTTGACCTTTGTCCTTCATGGACTGCTGCTTCCTGTGGGACCCCAGCATGTGAGAGCACAGAGGGGTTGACTGGCAGGGGCTGTGGGGCACAGATAAAATGAAGTGGAAATCAGCTTCCCCTCTGCTCTCTTCCTCAGACAAACAGATCGCCTCTGCATTCATTAACAGAGGAAGAGAGAAACAACAACCACGGCACACTCTTGCAGCTCCAGAGGAATTTTTTCACTCCATATGTTTTGTGAAATCCTCAAGCAAATTTCCGGGACACAAATGCTTCCCAATTCAGGACAACAATAATATTTGGATGACCGTAATAGCTCCAAGGCCAGTGTGATAATGTGTGATAAGTGCTTACATTGTAAATTGAGTTTATAGTCTCTGTGTTGTGCACAGAAAACCTTAGAGAGTTTTCCACTGTCAGAGGGCACTTTCTCACTGTTCCCTCTTTGTGAGAGTTCAGCTGGCCAGGTGGATCAGTTAATGGCACCACCACCCTTTGGAACCTGGAAACCGGGTTTTCTTTTCATGTGTGACCCCTGACAGTTTTGACCTCACCCTGTGTTGAAGGAGAGCAGCCCTAAAATCACATCACAGGTGCAAAAGCACTTTCCTTCTGAAAACAGGTCTAATCCCTGAAGGTCGGAGCGCTGCACTGGGAGTGTGTAATGTAGATGAATGCGTTTGTGAAGATCAAGGATGTAGCAGAAAATAACCAAATGGTTATAGAAATGAAAATTTCTCTTCTACACTTACAGTAATTGTGGAAGCCTCATTAATCAGTGGCTCTTATATAAGACTACATTTGCAGCCACAGTTTAATTTTAAAATGGTGTCCTATGTTTTAAAAGTGTACTTATGAATAAACTCATTAACAGATAACCTACTCAGTAGAAGTCACCTTCAATTATTATTGAAGACATTTGTTTTAAATTAATTTAGTTAAATTGTTTGTTCATTAATTTTTTGTCTATACTATTTTATATGTCATGCCATTTGTGAAAGGCACTCATAAATATTAAAACACTGACTGCTCCTACTTAAAATGTACAAAATGATAGAGCATTTTAGAGAAGTAAGTATATATTTACACAGACACTATCCTGGTGAAACGTGAGTGCAAGGTAAGTATCTATATGTACACGTGCATATGTTTTACAATGCACATACTGATGCATTTTAGTAAGTGTGGTTTTTTAAGAGTGCTTTTGTAGCGTCATGTGTTTACGCATTTGCATGCATCACATGTGGATTTCTGAGCAACAGCGGAATAATACAATAGAAGTGTTGGCGAGAAGAGCGGACTGTGGTTCTGCGTGACAGTTTTTGCAGGGTGCCATTGTAGAAACGATTAGCCAGCTCTTTTCCCTCGCATGTGATAGGCTGGTGGGCCTGATGTGGGAGCCTCACGCTTCTCCCTTCCTCCTCCTCTCTACCACCAACACCCTGAGCCCACAGTGCCTGAGGCTACCTACTGAGTCAGCAGGAGGGAAAGGTGTGTGTGTGCATGACTATGGCATCAGGACAGGAGAGAAAGCAAAGTAGCTGGAGAAGGATAAAGAGCAGAGAAAACGGTTTAGAAGAGCTACGCTTGCATTAAAACCCTAACAGATGGACAAAAGGAAAGACTGTACAGAGAAAAATAAAATCAGTATGAGATGATGAAGAAGGTCAAAGGGGAAGCACCATCATCTTATAAATTATTTCTACATCTTATCTGTACAGGCCTTTTTTTCAAAGTGACTAATAAGACAGGATGTTCACTCTAAATGTAACTATAACACACTTTTCCACAATGAATAATGCCTGTGAATGACTGGTGTTAAGTGAAAACACTCCAGCGTGCCCTTGCGAATCAGCTAAGTGTGGTGCCAACCTCTTGGTTGCATGAGTGCTGGGATCAGCCATGGCCTGGCTGCTTCTCAGACAGCGGACACAGACAGAGGAATGCTGCAGATACTCGCCATTGTGTGGGGCGAGGCAGAGGAATGTAGGCTGCCAGGCTGCGTACACTGACTCCAGTGAACACAGCCAGAGGCCTTGAGCCATCAGGAAAGACCCGGCCAACGGACCCCACAGTCAAACATCCCTCACCACTTCCATCTGTGACATCATACCCATCTCGCCTGGCCAGGTTTAGTTTAGTCCAGCTTGACTGTCTAAACACTCAGTATCTTGTTGAAGAGCTCCTGACTGGCTGTCAGAGATTACACACAAAGTGGCCTGTCAAATAAGAAATATTTGATCAGTGGAGTAAATATTCATTTGTTTCAAACAAACACTGCTGATCAATCAGTGAATTCTAATGATTGTAACTTATCTTCTATGGCTAAATGTCAACTGAGCAGACATTTGATCCCCACTAGTCATTTCCAGCCCCAGCCAGTTCTTTCAAAGTTGTTTTGCAAGTCTCAGTCTGGGTGATCGTCTGTAACAGTGGCTTCACGTGAAGCACAGAGCAGTGATTGGGATGGAGGACAGGATGGACCATGGGCTTCCTCTTTCACTTCCTATATGAGGGTCCAGTCAAGTGACTCTTTGTGAGAGTGTTAGGTTGTATGTCGCAGGAAAACGCAGCTTTGGCAGCTGTGGTTTCCGCTCAGGATATCCAGTCGTTTCTGCGCACAGTTGTGACACTATGAATCATGCAGTGATCACACACACATGCATGTCCATGGCCATGGCAAACATACACACGCACAGACATGCATATGCAAATACAGCACTTTCTTCTTCTCTCACACACTTTTTAAAAAAGCTATGATTGTGACAATTTATTTGTCATAAATATACCATTTTCTTTTTGATTGTCTTAGCTCCTGCATAGACTATGAAGGTTTTTTTCCTGTTGCCACGTCCGCAAAAATTCCACAGTAATTGTGATTATACTACTGGTAATGACTAAAGTTATCACATGATGGGATCTGCAGGGCCAAACAGAAGAGATTAATGTGTAGCTTCAGAGCTACTATAAAGCTCATGCTGCTATCTTACTGGCTGTTGTAAGGAGTCTGGCTTCCTGGGGACGTTGTGTTGAGTGTGTTTGTGCAGGAGCTCCTGGTAATCTGATAGGAAGGCTCTGATAAAGTGCTCGTCACGTTTCAGTGGACAGCGTGACAAAGTCCTGTCACTTTACAGACTCTGGACTTTGGTTACAAAGCAATGGGTGAGCCACTGTATGTAATAATTATACAGGTTTCTTCCATTGTGACAGAAACATTATAAGGCAGGCTGTGGCTGTTCCAGAGGTGAAAAGCAGAGGGACTTAACTGGCATACAGTAACTAAACATTCTATATGCATGGCAATAACCAAACTCTCAAAACCTTGACTTTCCTTTCTATAGGGATATATGGGATATTGTCCTGAGAGTGACTCTGCAGTTTTACAGCATAAATAACAGACTGAAGAGAGGAGAAGACAAGAGAAGAGAAGAGAATCTCTTTCCTTTTCATTCCATGATAGGATTTCCTGTCCTCTTTTATGGGGGTCATGCAGCTGGCAGGCGCCCTCCTGTTTCTGTCTGTAACGATGACAGGCATCCATTAGTGCACAGTAGAAACACAAGCTACAGAGGTTTGCTCAGGCTCTTTCCCCCGACAGCTTCTTCCCTTTCCACAGCCCCTGGCTTCCAGTAGACAACCTACCTATCTATAGGGCAGATGTTGTGGCTTTCAGTTCAGCTGGCAAAAGGTTCACTTATTGAGGGTCAGCTCCTGCTCAGACAACAGCATGTGCACCCTGGCAAGTTTTACACAACCTGGAAAGCATATACAGCCCTTGGGCACCATAGTGTGTGCCTGGTATATAACAGACGTACATCCGGGAACAGTAATGGTGGGACTCTGGGTTTTGGGAAGCACACTGTGGATAAGAAAATAAACAGCTGCTGTTAGGAAATGAAAGTGAAGAAAATGAGTTTAGTGATTTTATTTATTTATTTTTTTTTGCTTGTGTGTTTGTGTGTAGAAGAGGTCATTTGTTCTTGTTGTTACTGAGTTTAAATGAATTGTGGCCTAAAAAGTGGTAAAGGCAGAATATATCCTCAGAGATGTATCTGCAGAAAAACAATTACTCATTTAATTTTCACTAATGATAACTATTAGATGCATTATTTAAATAACTGAAAAATGCCTGTGGCTAAAAGATTCCCTCAGGAAAAATGAGACAAGTAGAGGAATGAACAGATGATAGGATTTGAAATCCAAACTCTAGCTGTCACTGCACATCTATCATTCAACAAGTTTCTGTGAGTGTCGCCAACATGAAATTATGGCAGCAGTGTTATACATTGTGGTGAAATCTAACAGGCCTCCTTGGAATCAGGATCGGGTGTGTCATTCTCCCACTAATGTGTCATGTTAACATCTCCCTTGTGTCATAACTCTTTCTTCATGTTTCTCAGAAGCACTGTGGTGAACTTAGAGCCATATTAGTTTTCCTTTCAGTTGATTTTAGCACAGTTGA